GAAGTTTCCCTGTAGGGAAACAGCCTGGGGCCTGTAGGCCCTGTCAGAAGGAAGCTTCCAGGCAAGAGCCTGGAAGTTTCCTTGTAGGGAAACAGGCTGGGGCCTGTAGGCCCTGTCAGAAGGGAGCTTCCAGGCAAGAGCCTGGAAGTTTCCCTGTAGGGAAACAGGCTGGAGGTCCGGGACGGGCCCTGCAAGGCCCGTGTGGCTGCACAGTATGCCACAGCCTCGTTCGGTTGGGCGCCCAACTGTCTCTGTATGAGGCTGCGATTCACACCCAGGGCCTGCATTCTTTGGAAAGGCCCGGTAGGCCGTGGAAATGTCTTCGGTACTCGGCCTGTGTTTCTTTCAACCAACTGGCGCGTCGCAACTGCCTGGACCCCAAATATGAAATTGACAGTCGAGGGCCTCTTGCAAAAAGCCAGGCCCGCCTTCACTTAGGGCGGGCACCTCCACCTTCACTTAGGGCGGGTAAGGCTGCAGACAGGGCCCCATAGGCCTACCGAGGACCCTGATCCTCGCACATTGTTGACGACAGTCTTCACGATCGGGGTTCATTGCACTGCGCTGAGACATTCTGTCTTTTGACGTTAACGAGCTTCTCTCCTGACTGGGTTCATTGCACCTGCTCATGCAGAAATTCGAATTTGTATTTCAAAAGTAGGAAATTCGAACAATTCAGATTTGAAATTATAACATTTTCGTTACTGTTTTTAATTTTTAAATTTCTGAATAAAAAAAACGGAAATTCTTTAATTCTAGACTTCCGTACTTTTTTTTTCTCTCCTCTTGGACTACCTGACTGTCAGCGTGGTTTCCTACCTGCAAACTGACATTGCAGGAGAGACACCGCATAAACCCACATTCTCAACAAAAAAAAAAAAGACGTTTGTGCAATTTGGGGGGAGTATTTTACCTGCATAGGGAGGGGGTTTACAGTTCAGGTGCTTGGCCTGCCTGTGTTCCTTTTCTTCCCCTGCCACGCTTCATCTTGATCTTACCGGCTTGGTAAGTGCCACACCAGCAGAGTGCCAAGGCCGAATTAGCCTTGGACCAACCTCAAACTCACGGAGGAGCAGTTCCAGCTCCGACAAAATTGGGGTTGCTTTTTCTTGTGCAATAGCACCCAACACCCCCCCCACTCAATGACCCGACAACAAGGGCAAGGAGGATGTTCGCCCGAAGCCAAGCTCGGAAAACTGAGCGCCGCAGGAAGCGAGGCAACTCCACTTCCCATTCTGCCGGACACAGTTGCCTTGCTAGCAACCTCCTTCACATCCAGGGAGCATGCGGATGTTGTAAGTTCGCGTACTTCATACAACGACTATGCTGTCCAGTTGGTCCCTCTGTTGGACCTACCCCTCCACGTGCAAGACTCATGCCCATGTGCGGCTTCATCACCCTCAGCAAGCGATCTGACTTCTTCGTCGTAATTACTATCATTCGGGGATTTGTCAGTTTGGTTGAGACTTGAGGACCTCGACCCGTTGACTACGGAAGACTTCCAATGGTTGCCTCTTCACATGTCCGGCTCCTTGCCGAAAGCACATTGCAACACTTCAATGGCAGATTCGCGCAAGTATTTGCACGCTGCAGTACCAGCTCCGTTGACAGAAGATGAAGTAGCGGTGGTTGACCTTCGCGAGTACCTTGCAAGAGAGAGAGAGAGAGAGAGAGAGAGAGAGAGAGAGAGAGAGAGAGAGAGAGAGAGAGAGAGAGAGGTCCAGGTGTGTGGCATGGTCACTTGGCTGTATCTCTGGGTTAGATGTGATGTTTTAGAGACCAATCTTCCTACATTCAAATACACATCAAGCTGGGGGTGAATTGGGGGATTGGGGTGAAAAGATAGAAATCCCAACGCATGCTGCGCCATCATCAGGAGTTTTCCTTGGGATGTGAATGAGAGGATGGTCTTCTCATTATCTATAACGTACTACAAAGGTATCAAGAAAGATCCCCCTAGCAAGGTGGGCAAGCGATTTGGCAAGTTCTGCTAGCATTGTGGTTTTGATGAGAGCAGGATGCTCTGAAACTGGGGCTGTCTTTAAGACGAGTTCCCAGGAGGGTTCTTGGTCTGATCCTTTGCAAAATGAACTGAAATGAACGCCATGCAGAAGAAGATGATATGAGCTTTATTATCAAGACGCCATCAACTTCTCCTCCGCACAATCCCTCCACCGAAGTAGAGGTACTCAACCCTTCCACTCATACGTCACTCAGATTGAGGTAAGTGTTACTTCCCTAGTACTACTTTAAATAATACTTGATTGCACGACCCAACCATGCGAATTTGCGCGTCTACCCTCTTCTCGCGCCCCTCGAGTGAATTTGCCTCTCTAGCAAAGAAAAGTAAAATAAAAATAAATAAATAAATAAATAAATCCAATCCCCCTGATTCACTTATACCTTCAGGCTTCCTGATACAGCCTTTTTTCCCGCTCGGGTACTAACCCGACGGCTGACTCTTCCTAATTCCTGCCAGTATTCACCGCACAGCTTTTTGAAAAGGCCGCTGTGGCCCAAAATGCCAAAATTCCGAAATGCCAAAATAGCTGACGAAAGCCACCGAGTGCGGCCAATTCAGTCTGATATCTTGTCTCAGGCGCCGATATCCTGTTTCACAGACGCCGATTCCATCGGCCATACTTTGCCCGTGATCAGGGCTAGAGCTACACTTCACGTTTTTCCGAACGTCACCAGCAGGTTCAACATCCTACCCTAGAAGTCAGGATTTTCCCTCCTCTGTATCCATCTTACCCCTGCTCTCAGCACTTTGCCTGGGTACCTCAGTTTAAAGTTCTTCTGCTAAGGACAGAGTCCCCCAACATAGCATACCCCTGTCATTGCAGTTCTGCATGATTCTGAGAATTGTGTTGGCCACAGTGGCGTATTTAGCCTTCTTTGGGCCAAAAGACTGAAAATCTTTATAGGTCCGAAACTGCAGATCCCCTACTGTCCAGATCGAATTGGCGTTCTTGAACTTATGTGCCACCAGGATTCTTCCTTGTATCTCGGCGACAACCAACCGCGTCTCCAAGAAGTCCAGAACCCCGTCTCCCGGATCGATTCGTTCCAGCACCAGTCCGGCCGGATAACATGTTGCGATTTTATTGAGCCGCATTTCAGCAAGTTCCCTACCCTCAGGATCGTCCGTTTTGAAAAAGGGTGCTTCAAAACGAGTATGTGGTTCAATTGTACCTGGTTGAGCTATTACCATTCAAAAGGGCCTTTACCCGATATAGGCCTCAGGCCTTGTAAAAATAAAGCAGCACGGGCCTTGAAAAAGTAAAGCATTGTGAAAAGGTATCTCGCCAGAGCTCAGAAACGTGAAAGCAGGTCAAAGGTCAAGTTCTCTATCAACAGGCATATCTAAAGCTAAGGCAAAGGGCATTGTCAAAAGACTTACCTGTTCACCAGGAGATGTGTATGTCATGTCTGTTCGGGTAAGGGTGTGTCTGTACGTGCAGGCAGTGTACTTGTTGGTGCAAAATAAAGTGTCTGTTCAAGCAGTAAATGTCTGTTCGTTGAGAGTTGTGCCTGTCCGAAAGTAAAGTCAATAGGCACAGTCCCAGTTCTGGTCTAAGTCCAGGGGTCAGTCCAGATCTAGACTTTCAAATCCAAATTCRGGCCGGGAGGCCTCARCAGCAGTTGAACTTCATTGGGACTCTACTGGGACACATGCAATGCAGGGTCTGGGACAAAAGGAAGGCTGGATTGAGCCAATGCAGACCCAGCGAGGAGTATAAAGGAGGCAGCCAGCCTCATTCCTCGCCAGATCTCCACTGGCATTGTATGCGTGGAAGTGCTGGTGCACTTGTGCGTTGAGCCAGTAGGAGCAGCACTGGAAGGAGAGGATGCGCTGAGTGAAGGGAGAAGCCTGTATGCTGGAAGTGATGCAGCCATAGCTGCCCAGCAAGTTAGCATTAGTAGTAGTGGGTTAGTATGTAGCTATGAGTAGTATCCAGAGTAGATCCTCATGAGTGAAGAGTGTGTATTCATCGTAGGAGGAAGGRACTRAGGCTGAAAGTGTTCATTCAAGGTTCGGCTATGGARGATACTTACCTGGATTAGATGTGACCTGCAGAGGTGGCGCTGAAGAAGTAGTGACCACGTTGACGACTTGGAGATTGTCTGCAGATGTAGCGCTGATACATTGGAAGCCATATTGATGAGTTGATAAGAGATTGGTGTTGCGCTGATGAGCGCTGGTCTCAGGGGAACTTTGAAACACTTTGTATTCATATTTCTGATAATATAAGCTGTGAAACTCGGTCCTCTTCTTCTCTACCTTTGTCTATGGTTGATACTATTGATCACTGCGTGTGAAGATGATGCATGACATGTACACATTTACGTGAGATGGTCCCTAGGACCCATGCACATTCCTCTTTCTATATCTTTTTTCTCAATACCTCTTAATTCTTTGAATTTGATTGTGTGTGAATAACCTCACTCTAATTACATTCTCTTTTCTTGTGTCTAATGAAATTTATTCCGCGTACATACACATTACACACGGGAGTGGCGGGCTTGCCCTTCCACCCATTGGCAGGCCTTTTTTCTGCCTGAGTGTTTTATCTGCCACCAGGAACACCGTGTTTTCAAGCTGAAATCTTGTCATTGTGCTTAGTTTGTTCAGACGCACTGATTTCCAACCAACCTCCCCCCGTGCTTTCCCAAATTTTGCCATATGTTTCCTCTTATTGGTTCTTATCCATTTTGCCTAAAATTGTTCGACTATCCTTTCCATGGCACGACTGATTTCAGGGTGTGGAAGTTCCGTAAACATTTCCTTGATGTCATAGGTTCTAGCTATAACACCAAGTTTAGTGGCCTACCTGTAAGGACGACATAAAAAAGATGGTGGCCTACCTGTAAGATCCTTTTCATGGAAACAAAGAGGGATAAGGAGGACATAAAAAAGGACAAAACAGGTGGATGGTGGCCTACCTGTAAGATCACGTCTGGAGAAACCAGTGAATAGGCGTCCTTGCAAAGAATGATTTTATTGAAATGATGAATGACATGAAGGCGTGATGAGCTTCCGCTCTCCCCAACGTCCCCTGCTATCGCTTCTGGAATCTGTAGCCTCAGTCCAGATAAGACATCTGCCACAGTTGGCCAGCCTAGCTGTCGAGCAAGTGATGCTACTGACCATTGCTCCTTTTCATTTTGCAGGGATCCAACAATAAGCAATCCTCTCCTTGCTCCCCGCAGGAGATCAAGTACTTCCTTCACCTCTGAAGGGTTGACCTGGGCCAGGTGAGAGGGTGAAAGATAGTGTCTGGCTGCTCCTCCGGATGTATAGGTGGTAAAGGGTTTCCCACTGACCTTCCAGTGGCTCAGATGCGACATGCAGGCGTCCACTGACCAGGGCTCACTTCTGAGATCAAGAGGATCCCTGAATTGGCAGTTGATCTGCACTGGCCCGGGACAAGGACGCATGGAATAATTAACACCACTGTCGATTGTGGTGAGGACCACTCGAGCTGGAACTCTTTCACCTGGCGGAGGAAGATTGAACTGATATCGCACATAACCGCCAAAAAACTTAACCTGAGTCAAAAGTCATGCCAGTCAACATCCACTCAGTTAGAATACTGGCCACCTGAATAAGGTTGCACAGATCACCTGTTTTTTTTTTTTCTTTCGGGAAAACAACCCCAACACCCACTAGCGGTGCTGATACGAGCAGACACTGCTGGGGGAGACCTGGGGGAGACGCCATCTATTGGTGGGGTTCCTGCTGGAAACCGGGTCCAACATCCCAGATAAAAAAAATGCGAAGAAAGGATTCCTGATGGAGCCCGCCAGCATGGGCACTGCTCTTGGAGTATGTCCTTTCCTTTCCAAGGAGGGATAGCCCCTACCATTACTGTAGCATTGTGATCCCATCCAGGTGTGTAGTCATGATCTGTTTATCAAGGGTTACATGTGTGTACCATGCCACATAGGCTGAGTAGCTGGAGTCTGTTGAACAGTCAATAGACCTTGAAATTTGAGTTTTGATTGACTGCAATGATCCTTGTACGTTCCTTTAAACCACTGTACGTTTACCCGAGTGTTCGCCTGGGGGTTGGCAGTGCGGACATCAGAGTTCGGGCCGCTCGGCAGGCCACTGATAAAAAAAACATCAACGGCAGGCCCAGTCCCTGAAGGTCGCCACATGCACACCGCTAGTCAATAAACAAATGACTGGGAAATGTACTGGTGGTTTAAGAAAGAAACATCTTACACACATGCACATTTAGCACAATGCCACTGTGGCAAGGGGAGAGCGAATAGAGGAGTGATCCGAGAGGAAGGGGAGAAAAGAAGTGGATTTTGAGTTCTGAGTCTTTTGACAAAAAAAATGAATCAATGGCACCATGACTCCAAGAGCACAATTCCTCTTCTCCTCTTCAGGTCCTCCTACTCCTTCCATCATCTCCACTACTTATTCCGGGGGGCTCACTTTGAAGGTTTTATATGGTCATGGCTTTGTCTCTCCTTAGACTTCTATCGAGTCTTCCTCAGATATGAATACTAAGTAAACACCCTCTGTGTGCTGTTTCCAGTAGCTGTAGAAAGATTAGCACATGATCACCCATTGGACTTGTTAAAAAATTGTAACGTTGGAAAATCTTAGACTTCACATGAATCGGGACATATATGTGATGAAGACACGAACAAGTGGATAACCGACAAGAAGAAGAGAGAGCGACTCAAAGGAAAACACCACTTGGAATAGCACCTCAACTCGATCATCAGAAGTATACCTTCGTCATGGAAAGAGCTCCTGGTAGAGGACTTCACATGGAAAGTAGGGGAATGGGGTGTGGTAATTGAGAAGACCCCTCCAAGAACAATGTACAGGTTCTCTCGCAGACTCAATAGGGTAGACTATTTGTAGATTCTCTCACATACTCAATAGGATAGACTATCTGGCCAAGACAACCTCTTTCCCAATAAGTTGCGAGTAAGTAGGAGGGGCCTCGACTTTGACTGCAGATCCGGTGAAAGAGACACTGAAGTATTTCCGGCTCCGGCAAGTACGAGTCCTGGAAGTCAACCTCCAACCGATTTGTGAAATAGAAACATCGATTGAGTGGGCCTGGAAACCCCAGACAAATAGTAGGAAGTATTAGAAACAGAACACCGGTCCCGATCTATGAGTTCTCAGTTGAACAGGGTTGCCGTATGCTCTTAAAAACCAAGGATCCATTGCCAACAATCAAAAGGAGACGTACCATTCATACTGACCACTGAGGCAAGTTCATATGGAATAGGCATAGGAACGGAAGAAATTAAGATCTGTTCAGTTTATGACCAAAAACATCCCGCCAGCGAAGCTACTAGCGTCTATATAAGAGAGGGAGTTGTACTCCATAGACAGCATTAAAACACTGGAAATGGTTTAAGTTCAGTCAGACCATGTGCATCAAGACCCAAACACAATTCCTTACCCAGGCAAGAGGTGGTGAACGTACATCCCTTATACATTTGAAAGCTAAGTCTAGTGTAGCTGATGAAAGCTAGTTGTAAGGCAAAGGTGATCACATTGGCTGGTCGATGGAGGAAGAGACTGGGATTGAGCTTGATAATTATGGTTGTTGATTGGTCAAGGAGTGTCGAGGGTTGGTTTCTCTACCAAAAGATCTAATAATGTAAATATTTTGAACATGTGCGATCACTGCACTGTGGATTCTGCTGATTGCTTTGTCTGCGAGTCAATGCTGGTTCTTAAGAGCACAATGTGCTTCTGATTCGAGTTTCGCCTCCACCACATCCCTGGAATATCTTCCTTTTTTTTTTTCCGGCAAACGGCTCGAGTTGATGATAGGGGTGCTGATACGAGCAGGCACCTCTAGCACTCTCGGGGGCTCCATCTATTGGTGGGGAGCATCACCTGCTGGAAATCAGGTCCAGCGTCCCTGAACATCATATCAGTTTGATTGGATCGCCATGTGACCATGATAACTGCAGGCTGCAGGGCCCGCCCATAGACGGGTGGCGATTGACAATCAGAGCAACTCTGCAACCTTAGTCATTTGCCTACCTGACAGCCCGGGCTGAGTGCTGGCATACCCTTTTTGCATTGCTACTCCTAAGAGAACCCAATCTCCCAGCCAGTGCTCACTTCTCTTTGCTATTGTTGAACCTCTTACTCATGTAGGCAGGCTATCCTCCCATCCCACCAACCTCCGCCCAATCTCGTTATTATGAGCCGAGAGGATTGCCATACAGTCAACCTAGGGATCTACCGGTAGTCACCTGTATTCTATTGAAAGAGGATCCCTCCTTGTCGCTGTTCCCAGGACGGGGAGGGCCGTGGCTGCACATTCCAAAATGTGCCTCTCCCCATCCCAGGCGTCATTGTGTTTCAGCTGTTTTATATGCAGTTTGTCATCTTTCACTGGATGATATTGTGTAATGCCTGCTGCGTCTGCCAATTCCCTTACAAATGCCTGTCCAGCCGTTGTGGTCCCGAAGTGCTCCTCTCCCTTCCTGTTGCAGCCTTGTGTCCCTTTGTATCACTTGTGTTCTTTGCAGTCGCTCCGCTTCGTGGCCCTTCCTCACTTGAGCATGTCTGAGAAGGGGGTGTGGAGGTGGGGGAGAGAGGAGGGGAGGAGAGGGGGGAGGAGGGTAGAACAATGGGGGGCTGATATTGTGTAATGCCTGCCGCGCCTGCCAATTCCCTTACAAATGCCTGTCCAGCCTTTGTGGTCCCGCAGTGTTCCTCTCCCTTCCTGCTGCAGCTTTGTGTCCCTTTGTATCACTTGTGTTCTTTGCAGTTGCTCCGCTTAGTGGCCCTTCCTCACTTGAGCATGTCTGAGAAGGGGGTCGTGAAGGGGGGGAGAGAGGAGGGGAGGAGAGGGGGGAGGAGGGCGGAACAATGGGGGGAGGAAGGCAGAGGGACGGGAAGGGTGGGGAATGGGGGAATCAAGACGGGAAGGGATCGGGGCCATAATCGTAAGAGGTGCCCGGAGAGTATAACGCCTTTGAGGAGGGAGAGTCCTGCTGGAGCCATATCATGTTACCAGCACAAAGTTAGGTTGCAAGATGGGAACCTGGAAGCAGTGGGTGGGTCTCCTTTGCCATGAAGGCTCTGTGGTCCTCCACTGCTTCCAGCGAATGTTAAGCTCACTATCGTGCGGGTCCTGCCAAAGCTGTCGATACGCTGCCTTAAGAGGTTCCTGAACATTGGGATCTTTCTCCTCCCCATAGTCCCGTATGAATGCCTTCCAAGTTTCTTGCTTATGGGACCTGATTTCCTGACTTGTTGGGCTTGCTGCAGACCGAACTGGTGGTCTCTTCTTTCAAATGAGCATCTGGCTCTCCAGGCCACCATGAGGACCTGCAATCTCGTGTATGAGAAAGTTGCTTGTGACCAGAAATTGTACCTAAAGGTCCCAAACCTAGCTAAAGGGGCCAGATGTCTTCCAGGCCCTGGATCTGTCCTCGCTAAGATACAGATGTTGGGCGAGACAACATGTATGTCAGGGTGTGAGAAATAAAATCTTTGTAGTAAAATACTAAGGAATTGACATTTCGTCTGATGATCAGATGATGATGTATTACTCGTCAAAAAGGATCAGAAATATATGCTCGCTGCAAGTAGAAAGAACACAGCCGTGCCTGTTCTGGGTAATGACAAAGGAATGGAATCCAAATAGAGGGCACACAAATCAACGAAGAGGAACCGATCCAAATGAAGCCAGACCCCCTACACCATATTCGACTGCGTTGTTGTGGATATGGCGGGAAGTCATGCCAAGGAAAGTGGGTAGACCCAAATCCAAGGAAGAGGTAGTGTGGCAACCCCTGTTTGGTAATCCGTGGGTGAGGGATGAAAGTGATCACCAACTATCCCTTAAGCCTAAAGCAAGGAGATGGCTTTCATGGATCAAACATGGAGTTTGGAAGGTGAGCCATCTGCGAGGCATAAGGCCTCAATAAGCCCCACTGGGCTCAGCAAGGTCGGCCGCCCTAAGTGAAGGCAGGCCCGACCGAGGCCTATTTTGGACTACTACGCAACTGGGGGAAAATTCAGGCAGTTGCACTGCGCCAGTTGGTTGGAAGCAACCAGGCCCAGGCTGCCTTTCATCGCATGCAACTGAGGCAGGCCCTGGGCCGGATACACAACATGGACCGAACAAAGGCTGAGGGCAGTTGGGCGCTAGTAACCACCACAGGCCCTGGGCATGTTTCCTCTGGCCTGAGGCTCAGCCTCGTGGGGCCTACCAGAAGCTTCTGGGCCGGGGCCCAGTACCGCATTACCGCCCGCAGCAGCAGGCCACTTCGATATAGGGAAGGGCCTGCCCACGCATTAAACATTCGGGCACTGGCTGCATGCTGCACAAGCGCTGCTGCGCTAACGCTGGCTAGCGCTCACGCGCTCACGGGCGAGCTGGAAGGAGCAGGCAGCCATAGCCGAG